TGAATTGAGTGGAACGGTGATTTTCAGCAAGTTCGACTTGAAATCTGGATACCATCAAATTCGAATGAAGAAAGAAGATGTGCCCAAGCCCGCTTTTAGAACTCATGAGGGCCACTATGAGTTCCTGGTGATGCCCTTTGGCCTCACCAATGCTCCAGCCACTTTTCAGGCACTCATGAATACGATTTTCAAACAGTATATGAGGCGATTTGTTTTGGCATTCTTCGATGACATATTAGTGTATAGCAGAACAGAGGAAGAGCACTGGGGCACTTGAAGAAGGTGTTAGAGGTTCTCCAGGAGCACCAGCTGAGGGCTAACTTGAAGAAGTGCTGCTTCGCACAAGCCAGTGTGGAGTACTTGGGTCATGTGGTATCTAAGGAAGGGGTAGCAGCAGATCAATCCAAGATTGAGGCCATGCTTAAGTGGCCACTGCCCAAAAATCTAAAGGAGCTGAGGGGATTCCTAGGGCTTATGGGGTACTACAAAAGATTTGTGAAGTGATACAACACTATAGCTTGGCCACTCACTGAGCAGTTGAAGAAAGATGGATTCTTATGGGGGGAGGCAACAACGACAGCATTTGAGCAGTTGAAGAAAGCTATGACCACAGTTCCGGTTTTTGCTTTACCGGATTTTACTCAAGTCTTTATAGTGGAGACAGATGCATCAGGATACGGGATGGAAGCAGTGTTGATGCAGAGTCACAAGCCCATTGCATATTTCAGCCAGGTGTTGACTGCCAGAGCCCGGCTAAAATCTGTCTATGAGAGGGAGTTGATGGCAATTGTTTTGGCCATCCAGAAGTGGCGTCCCTACTTATTTGGAAGACATTTCATCGTCCAAACCGACCAACGGAGCCTGAAATATTTGCTGGAGCAACGCATGGTGACAGAGGAGCATTAGAGGTGGCTATCTAAACTACTCGGATATGATTTTGATATCCAGTACAGGCCAGGGGTAGAAAATAAGGCAGCAGATGCCTTGTCCAGATGCATGGGGGAGCTGCAGACAGTGGTTGTATCAGTCCCAATGATGCTCGATTGGGAAGCCATAAAGGAGGAGAGTGCCAAGGATGAGGCACTAAGGAAGATCAGAGCTGACTTATTGAAGGAAGAGGGCATCCATTCAGGATACACGTTGGAGGGGGAGAGATTGTTGTACCATGGGAGATTTGTGTTACCCAGAACGTCAGTACACATCCCACAACTGCTCCAGGAGTTCCATGGAATAACAGTGGGAGGACATTCAGGAGTACTAAAGACCTACAGGAGACTAGCTGCGGAGCTGTACTGCAGCCATTGGCATTACCAGGACGAGTCTGGGAGGAGATATCTATGGACTTCATTGATGGGCTACCCCGCTCGGAAGGATTCACTGTGATTTTGGTGGTAGTGGATAGATTGAGCAATATGCTCACTTTATTCCTTTACGCCATCCATACACGGTGGTGACAGTAGCGTCAGTCTTTGTCAGGGAGATAGTCAGACTACATGGAGTGCCAGAGGCGATAGTATCAGACAGAGATAAAGTGTTTCTCAGCCATTTCTAGAAAGAATTGTTCAGACTGCAGAGGACGGTGCTAAAAAGGAGTACAGCTTACTACCCACAGACGGATGGCCAAACAAAAGTAGTCAATCGGAGCTTGGAAATGTATCTGAGATGCTTTGCATTAGAAACACCTAAGCTATGGGCTAAATGGCTATCATGGGCCGAGTACTGGTACAACACCTCTTTTCATTCAGCCTCTCAGATGACCCCATTTAAGGTGTTGTACAGAAGGGATCCGCCCCACTTGGTGCATTTTGGGAGTAGCAGCACACCCGTGTCTTCAGTAGAAGAGTATTTGGAGGAGAGGGACAAGACACTGGAAGAGTTAAAAAGACATCTGTTGAGGGCTCAACAGATTATGAAGAAACAAGCTGATGGGCATCAGAAGGATATTTAGTTTGAGGTGGGCGAGAAGGTATTTTGAAACTCCGCCCATATCGACAGAAATCGATCGCCAACCGGAGGAATGAGAAACTTACTCCAAGGTACTTCGGTCCTTATGAAGTACTGGAGAAAATTGGAGGCGTGGCATATCGTCTGAAGTTACCACCGACAGCGATGATCCATCCGGTTTTTCATGTATCACAGCTAAGGAGAGCCATTGGAGATTATGCTACCAGTTCTGAGTTACCTGGGACATTAGCAGATGAAATGGAAATTGTCTTGGAACCTTTAGAGCTCATGGAGGTTCGTCAGAAAGCAGATGGAGCCACAGAAGTCCTGATCAAATGGAAGAACCTCCTTGACTACGAGGCCACGTGGGAGCCATACGTGCGGATGAAGCGACAGTTTCCTGACTTCCACCTTGAGGACAAGGTGGTTCTTTGGGAGGGCGGTAATGTTAGACCGGTCCAGCCGGTCCTCTCTCGGTCCAGAGAGGACCGGCTCTATTCGTTTACGGGAGAAGAAAACAGGCGGAACTGGCCAGGGAGCTGGCGGAAACAGCAGGGAAGGAATAGGTGGGGTCCACTTGTTTTTCAAATTGAATCTTGGAGCCAAAAGGAGTGGAAGCAAGGGCAATTAAGTCCTTTTATGTTATTTTTGAATTGTATGCATTAAGTAGGGAGAAAAGTATAGATTAGGATTATGGGATTTTTGCTTTTGAAATTTCTGGTTCTTCTTTGTTGGTCCGGGCTCTAGATCGAATTCTAGAGATTGGGAGAGTGCGATCCTCCTCTCGATTAGAGGATCCTTGTATCTTTGCTATTTTCCTTGCATCTACTAGTAAAATACAAGTCTTTTCTCCTATTTTCTCTCAGTTTTTCCCTGTTTTTCCCACTGTTTTGGCTGTTTGTCTGCTGTGGACAGCAGTTTGCGTGGAGAGTTATTGTGAAAGTGAATAGGAAATACTTGAAATCAAGTATTTCCTATCACATTTCCTTGGACATCAACTTAAAAGGTGCCCAATCATATTTACAAATAGGTGAAGAAATTTTGGGAGAGAATATTGGGTACTTTCATTGATTCTCTCTAAATAAATCTTGCTCTTATCCTAACTTGATCACCCACTTCCTAATTTTGAAATTACAAATTTGCAATTCATTTTTTTTCTCATTTTTATTGCAAATTATCTTTTCAAGTTTAAAATTGCAATTGTTTTTCTTGAGAGCCTCCTAAAGTACAGCTCCACTTTAGGTGTCATTTGCTCTTGCAAATGCGATCATTTACATTGTAAATCTGATCAATGCTTGGCTATAGAAGTTGATCTTAATTACGTTAAAATTAGACTGTTTGTTAGATCTTGAGATATGATCAACACATGACTAATAAAGTCATCTTTATTACATTAGATATACAATAATTTTTTTATCTAAGCTTACTAATTTTTTCATTAGATTTGAAAATTCAATATAATTTCCTGTGTGTCCATTTATTGAGGTTCATATTTTAATTGATCATAGATTGGGTAATTCTGAATAAAGCTGACGCTGATGTACTATTCTCAATAGTGAATTTTACATGAATAACAAGGATTGATACAAACAAAACTCCTTTTTTTCCTCCTTTGAAGCATGTTCATAAATGCTAGTTACCTCGTTTGAATTCGACAAACTTATCCCAACATCATGATTATCAATAGGTAGATCAAAAAGTGGTTGTTAGTTCATTTTCTCTTCATCTCTTTATTAGATTGACTTTTATTTACATCATGATGTGTTGGAAGTATCATCTTAGTAGCAAGCTTTTCAAAAGAAGCCAATTTGTTTCTTCTAATTGTTTTCAAAGCTATCGTAGTTATTTTTTCACTTGAGTGATGCTTTTTTGTTTTCATTGTATTTCTTATTTATCTCTAAATCTTGTATAAAATAAAATAAAATTTCTACAAGTTTTAAAAATGCCTTGATGTCAAAATATGATCCAAAATTGTTGTGCGGAAGAATTATTGAATCAACAGGAAGTAATAAGTGAATTAGGTTTTCTCTGCAGTACCTTAAGGCTTAAATGGAATTTGTATTTTTTAGTCGAATTTGAAATTTTACATCCTGTTGGCCTTCCATTTATTGGAAAATAGGATCCATCTAAATTTATCATCAATCTAGCTAATTACAGCAACCTAGGAATCCTTATTCAAAATTTCTTGGATCCATCCGAATGATAGATAATATAATTTAAGTCATGTCTATATTCCTTTATATCTCTCAATTCTTGGCCAATCATGAAGTAATATGTGGAGAAAACTTGACAGAATATTAGGTTGTTTCCTTCATTCCTAAAAAAAATTCTTTTCAAGCTAATTTGTATGTTACTCCTAATTTTAAAATTGCTTTGGTAGTTTAGCTGCCCATTTTTTTATTTGTACATTCATCCTTTAAATGCTAAACTTGCAAAAAAGCCTCTTGGATCATTAAGTGTTCAAGCACTGCCTTTGAGGAGTGAGTTATCCCGCATTTTTATGTCTGACATTTTCATGGTAAATCATCTACCTCAGAAGAACGGTGAAAAATACCTGTCTAAGAGAAAAGGTTTAAGCTTGCTTGTTGGTCTTTTTATATTGCGTGATATGTTTTGATGATAGTAGGCTTAGGAGAACCTAAGTACCATTAATATCATCATCATCTAGCCAGTAAATACTGAAGTGATAAATAAACAAAGAAGAAATATAAAATATTGAAAAATGATGAAGAGATGGAGAAAAGGAAGTTATGGAAGCCCTGTGATAGCTATCACGGACTTTGTTAAACACCTCCCATTTTCAAAAAGCAAACATGCTGTAAAAACCATCAATATTTCTGTAGTCTACAATCAACAGCTAGTGTGATTGTTAAAAACTTGTTTTCCTCAGTCTTTCTAATAACGTAATACAATATGCATCCTATGTCATTTACTCTTAACGTGGTTGCAACACTTTAAATGCAACATTTCTGTCATTTATTACCTAGTTGCCTCGCACAAAAATATTTTTGTTTTCCGAGTCTGCTGATATGCATTCTTTGACATGGACTTTTCAGGTTATTGACAAGGTTCAAGAAGAAACTAACAAAAGCCGCTCTGGTAATACCCTCTCCCCATAAGTTTTGTGCAGTTTAAAATAGAAGTTACCTGTATCCTTACAAATCTAAAATATATGAACCAAGATCATCTAACACTAAGTACCCAAGTGTTCCACTGTATTTCACAAGTACTTGTAAAATTTGATAGTGTTTTAGAAGTATTATTATCCATTAAGCTGCCAAAATTTTTGAAGTTGGTTTATGATTTCAAGTGAAATTTATAGTGCTCGCTTGCTTTTAAATACAGACAGAAAACCCCCTGGGGTAGGCCGGGGAAGAGGAAGAGGTAGAGAGGATGGCAGCAATACACAATCTAAAGGAATTGGAAGAGGTTCTAATGACAACAAAGTTTCGGGTGGTGGCCGTGGCAGGGGCGGACATGGTGGTAGAGGAGGTGGTAGAGGTATGAAATATTCCCTCTCGATCAAAATCTTGGTGTACTGGGTTTTTTACTTATTTCTCTATTTTCTCCTTACTAGATAAATTATAGTATTATGATAATCATTTACATGAAACTTAACATGATTTCTTGAATTACTCAAAAAATCAAATATATATATATTTTCATATGTTTACCTTGTAATTCTTTCACCAGGGATACTTTATACAACTTGCCGAAGATTTAATCATCATTTTGTTAATTATACAAATATGATATTTTATCCACACAACAACAACAACAACAACAAAAACAACAACAACATCAAGCTTTTGTCCCACTACGTGGGGTTGGCTACATGAATCATTTTTCTCTATAGTGTCCTGTTAAAAGTCAAATTCTCGTTTAAATCTAATAAAGAAAGAACATTTTTAATATTTTTAAACCAAATCTTTTTAAGGTCTACCTCTATTTTTATTAACATAAGTCAAATCTAATACCTCTTCTTTCCTAACATGGTCATCGGAAGACCGCTATTTTATGTGACCAAATCATCTTAGGAGACTCTAAATTCTTGGCCAACATTTGGCACCATAAAACATGGCATATCTCACCACCATCTTATAGAAATTTGCCTTTAGTTTGAGGGGAACATTTCATCCACAAAGAATAAAAAAAATAAATCATATGTTCTATCCGAACTGCAATTGAAATTGATTTGTGGTGACAATGTGGAGAGATTGCAAAAGAAATTGCAAACTATGACTAAGATGCATTGGGGCTATTATAATATTCTTTTGAGAACATTAAGTGAATTAGGGTGGTATATTTATATAATATTTGGAGAATTTAATGTTTAATGTATTTTCCAATAACTTGATAAACGTAATTGTTTAAATTCTTTTCATTATATGTTAAAAAGGCTTTCATTTAACCATAACCAATAATACTATGTCCTCTTTCAACTGTTAGTGATAACGACTTATCCACGTGTTTTTTTCCTCCGACAATTTAATAGGTGGAGGGCGTGGGCGTGGCGCATGAAACGTCCCACAAAGAGAGAATGGTTATATTTATTTGAACAAGTCTCTTTTTTATCTCTGCAGCGTAATTTGTTCAATGTGAAGTTCTTATGTTTTATGAATGTTAGGGTGTTGTAACTCTTGCCTTCTATGATCTCGAAAAAATACAGAAAGTTGGCATATTTTAATCGATATCGAAGGATGTATGGAAGAAATGGATGGTGCTTTCTCGTGTTCTTCTCGATGTTTGTTGCTACAACTAAATGCTCTGCTGCAACTACGGTTTCAGCGCTCAGATGCTTGACCTTTGCTTGAACAAGGTCAGGCTTTTTTTTTTTATTCGAAAACTCCAGTCAAACTATATAACGAAGTTTATTTTTCTTTTAATTTGTATCCTGGTGACAATAATTTTTCATGATTATATAACTATTTTTTATTTGGAAATCCATATAAACATGTTGACTCTAAAGTTCTGATAATTTCTCGAGTAACTTTATTGTCTTTAAACTAGTATATGTTATTGGCGATTGTATTTTGTTAAAGTTTGCAAAATTATTTGGAAATCTATTTCACCATCACTCTGAACAATAGATCCAAGATATTTAAAATATGTACTCTTATTAATGACTTGGTCGCCCAAAGTCACAATCCCCTCATTAGGTCTATTACTACTAAAATTACACTCCATATATTCCGTTTTAGATCTACTCAAGCGAAAACCTTTTGACTCTAAGGTTGACCTCCATAATTCAAGTTTACCTTCAACTCTCTCTCTAGTCTTATCAACAAGAAGAATATCATCAGCAAAAAGCATACACCAAGGTACATCCTCTGCAAATGTCTAGTGAGAATAGATGGACGATAGTGATAAAAAATAATGAAATAGTTGTCCTAGATAAATTTTTAGGTTTTCCATTCATTTATAATAATAATAATAATAATAATAATAATAACAACAACAACAACAAGCCTATTATTTTAAATCTGAGAGTCCGATCTAATGTTTTGATGATTATAAATATTATTGATATGACATTTATTAGTTCTTGCTTTATATTTATTGCATATTTTGTTTGTGAGCTATTAACCATTTCCAATATTACATACACGAGTTTGATTAAAAAAGTGGACTTAAGATAGTTCAGCTTTAATGTCTAGTCAATTATAATAAAAGTGTATGTACATTTTTTCTTTTCTTGGGTCATTTATGAAGCAATCTATATTTTGGCAAGACTATTAAACACACACTAATAATGAGGGATGAAAATGAATATTGGAATTTTCTATTAAACCGTAATATATGATTTCAATTGTATTGTTTAATCTATTAATCAAGAAATTAATTTATGTATTTAATTAAATTATAATTAATTTAAAATTTGAAATTTAACTAATCGTACTATATAAAAGATTTTGTACTACATGATTATTAATAAATGTTGTTTGATTTTGTCTCATAAATTAAGGAATTGAGTCTGCATCAAATCATAATTAATTTTTCTATTGTAAGATCCAAAGCATATAGTCCGATTTATCTATGAAATCATTGGTTGAACCATAATTTGTCCTGAACGATGCTTGATTTGATATAATTGATCATACTATATGACTGAATATCTAGTAGGAAGATCTATAATGAGAATTGAAATAATTAGATAGTATTATCTTAGTATCATACTATATGATTATAAACTTTAAATTGAAAAGTAAGATTTTATCTAAATGGCCCACTTTAATTATTTCACATAAGATATAGGGTTATTTTGATTAGTTAAAGTAGTTTTTTTAAGGCTTGCAAATAGCATTAAACAAAGAAGAAAAGATACAGCCTACTAAGTGATAGTCCACCTATCACAGTCATTCCTAATCAAGTAAAAAAAGCTTGGAGGAAGGACATTCTCAACAAAAAAACATCCTAAGAGAAATCACCTAAGAGTGCTTGATGAGAATAAAATCAGTCACTATTTTGCTAGTTCTAGAAATAAAATGAAATTTTACACTTTTAAAAACATCAAGAAAAGAAGTCCATCTTCTTGGCTCCCACCCACAATAAACTCTGTAGTCTTGAAAACATAATTTCGCAAGCAGTTGATCATGTTATGATTATCTCCTTCGATGATGAGTCCTTTCTAGTCAATCATCCAATGTTGTATACAATGTTTGAAGCGAAGTAGCAAAATAAGCTCCAGAAGAGAGATATTCCAATGGCACAATTTTTTTTCCCATAAGCTAGTAAGAATTTTCCCTTGTGGTCACATAAAAACACTTGTAATACCAGTCGAATAGTTATGCATTAAAGTAGCATCAACATTTAACTTAATCCAATCTGTAAGAGGGGGATACAAAATTTTAGACAACACATAATGTCAGTTAATATCATAGTTTTGGAAAATTGGAAAAACTTGTGGATGGATTGAAAATGACAAAATGTTAGATGCAATGATACCTACCGATGGGACCTTGGCTCCATGCTACAAATTGTTTCTAGCTTTCCAATTCTATTACACAAAAGACATAAATTTTAACCAATCTGGATTTCACAGAAGAAATTTTCTCCAGATCATATAAACAATGAGATAAACAGTTAAATCTAGGAGATTGAATTCTCCATTGTTTAAACAAATGAAGAATATAAATTAATTTAGAACAGTGACAAGAAATGTAATCTCTATCTTTAGTTTGCATGCAAGATCTCGGACACAAGCTAGATTCACACAATTTTCTACAATTCAACATAGATCGGTCAGAAGTGCATTATTTATCAGTCTCCACCAAAATAAACATTCCATAGGAGTTAATTTTAAATTCCTAATCCACTTAAAGTTAACTCCTTCATATTAGTAAGAAAAGGTAGATTCAAAAGAAAGTGTTGTAACAGATATCCCTGAATTCAAAAGAATTAGTTTTGGCTGATGTTCTTCCAGATTGAACATTATAGGAGTATCTTTGATAATTTGTGTAAGTTCTTGTGGAAAAAACTTTTTTAACAAAGGTAAATTCCATATACCATTGAAATCAAGAAGGAAATTCACATTCTTATTTTGAAGTTCAGCAACATTACACAACGTTGGCCACTTATTTAGGCATCTATCAAGTATCCAAATATCATTTAAGATATTAATACTTACCCTATTGTTGAATTTACACCTTATGATTGGTTTTAAATAATGGCAACCATCCTTTATAATAAGCCAAGCAAGAGAAGAGATTCTTTTACTTCATTATATTTCTTTTCCATTTTTTGCCACGATCATATTGCTAAGAAAAGAATTTTGATTTTGAATGATATTCAATGCAATTCAAGCTCTTAAATGACCCTATATGTCAGCCGCACCTTGAATACCAAGTCCTAATTAATAGGAGTACTAAGAATTTTCCAGAAAATATAATGCATTACCTATTTGCCATGTTACTTATGCTATAAAAATTTCCTACAAAATTGTCATTATCATCTATGATACTCTTTGGGATCAAGGAATGGATGAAAAAGTTGATTTATTAAAAAAAATTTTCCTTGCTAATAAAAGAATCTAGCCCCCTAGGAATTAAGCCACTCCATCGTCTTATCTAGAACATTACCAAAATTTGCATCTTTCAACCTTCTGAGAGCCATCTTAATTCACATATAAGTGAATTCATCCACCACATGATAGTTCAAAATTTTACTTGTTTTTCTTTTCCTTCTCCTTGACGTATACTTACCAAATAGCAACATGGATTTGCTATTGTTTATTTTTTTTGACTTGTCCAGCCACAATACTCCTCAACCAATACATTTATCAACATCGCATTATACCGAGTGGCCTCCGCAACAATAATGATATAATCAACATAATGAATATTAGAAACCTTAGCAATATTAGGAGCAGTCCAAATACCAAGATTTTGGCCTTTTATAAGAATCAATTTAGACAATAATTAAGAACATAAAATAAAAAGACATGAAGACAACGTGCAAACATTGACTAAATCCACATTCAACTTTAGTCCATTTGCTTTTATTTCCATTGATAGTGATTGAGATTTAGGATAGCTAATGCAATTGATAATAAGATTAATCATCCTCTCAGGGAAGCCCATAATATTTAATACTTGGTTCAATGCTTCCAAACTCATGTTTTCATAAGCTTGCTCAATGTCAAGCTTTACAAGTATAAAACTCGATTTTGCTTTTGAGAATATGAACTTATTTAAGATCTCATGAGCCATAAATGATCAGAAGCAACCCTTAGTAAATGTTTAATAACCGTAGATGAGATAATAAATAAAGCTTTAGCTTTAAGTCAAATATGTCTAAACTTTCCCAATTATGAGCTACACCATCTTTATTATCACACCATGTAAAATTTGGACCAATAGAGCCAATATCATGATAGTAATTCCTGGATAAAAAATCATTCATTTCTTGAGGTCCTTGAGAAAACATAAATATCTTACCACCTTTTTTTTTTTTTTTTTTCAATTTTGCATAAAATGTAATTAAAGTCTCCTCCGATGATACATGGATTTTCAATATGCACATGTTCATCAATCAGTTTCCACAATTTTCTTCTTTCATGAAGATCTTTATTGTCATAAACAATAGATAAAGTCCAATTAATTCCATTCAGATCCTTAAGAGTACAAATAATACATTGGTTAGAAGAACTTAAAATAGTAAATGTAGCAATAATGTTCTTCTAAAGAGTAAGTATACCTCCAATAGTTCCATTAGCAACAAAATGGAAATATTCCCATGCATTGCCAATTAACCTTCTTACTTCATTATTATCCATAGAACTCAATTTGGTTTCCATTAAACCAATGAGAAAAACCCAATTATCCACAACCAAACTTTTCAAGTAAAGGGATGCTTCTTTTTTCTTAGCTCCCCTACAATTCTAAAAATAAAATGGAAGACATTTTAAGAATATAATGTGGATAAGGCCCCCACACCCTCCTTGCTATCACCACCTCTTCTCCCTCTACTATATTCCTTAGTGAGACCAAGAAATCTCAATTACTAACTTTCAATTCCATACATTTTTCTTCTACTTTCTCATCTTCAATACCTCCAGATGGCTTAAGAAGAAAGGTTAGATTTGTAGGGTTCCTAGCTGGTGGTATCAACATCTTCTACGACAATTTCACCCATAGACCCATCATAAATAGCTTCTTCAGTATTATCTAATTAAAGCTTATGCATTAATATGATTAGGCATGATTTCACCTTCTTCAATCATACAAGTTCCTTCAACTGGAATTTCACACTATCACAAATACCCATATTCTCTTGATGTTTTGTTTTTTTTATAAAGACCTCAGTTACCTGGTCCTCAACCATAGTAGCAACAACACCTTGAACTAAGTCATCTTTTTTCTTTGATAATAACTTCAATGCCTCTACTATCATCTTCAACACAACAACATTCTAAAGCTCCACTTCTAGATAAAAAAAT